TAAAATAAAATAAAATAAAATAAAATAAAATAAAATAAAATAAAATAAAATAAAATATATATCAACAACCAAAGTAAAAAAAAACACCACCACCAACTCAACACCATCATTGCACAGGCTCTGCCAAATATCTGGAACCCCAAATCTTGGTCAAAGCCATGTCTTTAAGGCCTTACAAAAAAGCCAGCAGGTTCGGGGCCAATCTGACCTCTGTGGGGGGGTGATGTTCCAAAGAGTGGGTGCCATAACAAAAAAGGCTCTCTTCCTGGGCCCTGCCAGATGACATTCCCTAATAGACAGGACCCAAAGCATGCCTCTCCTGCCAGCCTTCTCAAGCTGACAAATGAGGAGTACAAAAATCAGCTTACAGCCACTCCCCATCCCCATCCTCTTTGTTAGGCCATTTGCATTTATTTCATAACTAGAAAAAAAAACATGTTACAGGTAGTCCTCAGTTAAAAATGATAATTGGGCCTGGGAACTCTGTTGCTAAGCAACACAGTCGTAAAGCACAACATCATGTTGACTTAAGATAGTTCCAGCAGTTCCCGTTGTCGTTAGGCAAATCCCACATGGTTGTTAGGCATGATGTCACATGATTGCCATTTGCAACCTCCTGGTGGCTTCCCCATTGACTTTGTTTGTTGGAAACTGGCAGTGAAGGTCGCAAATGACAATAACATGACTGTGGGATGCTGCGACTGTTGTAATTGCAAGCCAGTTGCCAAGCACCCGAATCATGATCACCTGACCATGGGGACACTGCGGTGGCCATAACTTTGGAGACCAGCCATAAGTCTCCTTATTCAGTGCTGTTGTAACTTCAAATGGTCTCTGAATGAATAGTTGTTAACCAAGGACTAACTGTAATTTAAAAACACAGTGAAACAGTACTGAAGCACCAGGTTGCCTTGATTTCTAGCCATGGTAGTTCATGTTTTGGTAACTTCTTGATTGGATTATTGTAATGAGTTGTTTGTAGGGCTGCCATTGAGGATGACTTGGAAGATGTAAGTAGTACAAAAGGTGGCAGGCAGGCAGAACTGGTCAAACTAGGTGAAACTACATCACACCAATTTGGAAAGAGCTGTTTTGGTTTCCTATTATTCATTCCAAACAACTTGGAACCCAATGTCTAAAACTATCCCTTGCCTCCCCATATCTTCCTATTGTCAATGAGGATTTTTTAAAAAGTACCCTAGGTTTATTATGAGCTCTGACCTTCCCCCTACTACCCATGTCTTTTGCAAAACATCTCAAAAGCACCTTACCTCAATGTATGTTTCCTGAACTTTGTTTTTTCCACTGCAGAAGACAGATACATTGGATTGCATCTGGGACTGAATTCCACTTAGCTATACTAGCTCCGTTTTCTCTATAAACAAGGAAGTCACTTACTATCAGGCAGAAAGTTAGGGTACCCCTGTAGATGCCAGGATGTGGCTAACACTGGAGCCAAGCACTAGCCGCTGCTACTGTAAATGGAGGAATTCCTCAAAAGCTAAGCGCTAACAGCTGTAACTGCAAATAGAAGACTTCTTGGTTTCTTAGTTGGTGCAGGAATGAATGAAACTGACTAGATGCTTGTGAAAGGCAATGCAAATTCTTTTTCTGTATGTACTTGTATCTGAACTGTCTATATAAGCTTGCTTGACCATGTGCTCAAGCTCTCTTGAAACATTGTTAAATGTGTTCTTTATGTGCTTGACCAGACTCTGTGGACTCTTACTAAAGGTGTTGGAGACTTCGCAAGTATGTCCTGACTAAATAGAGGGACAGACCTAAACTTTGCCACTTAGGTGACTGAGAAGAGTGCTGAGTAAACTCGGACATTCTTGTCTAACCCCACCCCACCAGTCCCAGGTGCCTTTGGTATGAGCCTGAGCTCCAGGAAGCACCTTCAACCTCTAGTTCTTCAGCCTGAGTTAGCCAACAGCTAAGTGTGAAAACTGCTCAGTTAGTGTTGCCAATCATTACTTTCTTCTTTCTCCAAGAATTCCCATGTTTTATGAATCAACAAACAGCCCCAGAAGGGGAAAACAAAAAGGTTTCACCATGCAAATTCCAGCCTTTAAGCCTGTATAAAAGAGTTAATGCTGTAAAAAATAAAACTTGCATCAGGGCTGATATATATTGTGAGAGCACTGCTTATGTGGGTTCCACTTAAATATTTTAAACAGGCTGATAAATTTAGGTTAATTTTTTGTAGAATAATAATAATAATTTATTAAATTTAAATGCTGCCCAACTCCCAGCAACTCTGGGTGGTTTAAATTGTTAAAAACATTTAACAACATATACTCAGGATTTCTATTAAAATTACCTCTCTCTTATGATAACGGTGGTTTTCATTTTCCTGATTTTAAATAATATGATTGGGCTTGTTTGTTAACATTAATCATATATTAGAATGGAAATAATATTGAATATGTGCCATTGTGGGCTCAGCTTATTATTTAGTACCTTGCAATCTTGGCAAGTGCTGGGCAATAATTATAATTGGAATTTTGTTACTTTTCCAGCACTGAAGGCTGTTAAATACTGTATCTCTGGGCTTTATTGGGTACAAAATTTAAATTTGGTTTTTCTTCTCATGAGAAACTAACATTTTGGAAAATTCTTATTTGAAAATGGCTGAGTAGAACCCTTACTCTTAATCCGCTATTGTCAGCTCTCCCAGGTAAACCAGACAGGAAACACAACCAGATGAGCTACTTCTACTTTATTGTTAGGCTAAATTAACGGAATCTTGCAAGTCTGAAAGTACAAATCTCCTGCCGTCCCTTTTTACCGCCTGATCAGTTAGGGCGGGTCCTTTCTATGTTTCTTTCTCTGTCCGTTACTCAGTTGCGGGCTCCTCCCCCTTTTATCTGATCGTTCCCTAGGCAGCATCTCTTCCCCTGTCTTCCAAGGTCATTCTCACATTCAATTACAGCTATTAAGTAGCTATTAAGCTGATACTTTCAAAATTTTGCACACTCTACAAAAGGAATATAAATATACCTAAAAAGGCTGAATAGCAATACATGCTGTTAAAATAATTATTATCTACATATACCACCAAGCCTCCTTCCTTTCTTTCAACAAAAATGCTCAAGCTGTTTTTCTTGAGCTCAAATAGAGCTGGGAGGTAAAGGACATCACAAGCACTCCAGCACACACCCACAAATGCAAGATGATCATGCTTTCATCTATTTCTGAACCAGGGAGGAAAAAAACCCCTTGACTGTAAGGAGGTGCTGAAGACATAGCATACTTACAAGTTTACAGTGCTTTATTGCTGCTCTGTTCTTGGTAATATCTAATCTACCGTACGTGGATTCTTTATGTGCAGGTCTGTATATGACAATCAGGGAGAGAAACTTCCATATTACAATACTGCTGTGCTGCTTCAAAGGGTGTGTGAGTGATGCCACTGCTGCAACTTTTTATGTCAACTCAGAACCTGTTTGCTCAGACCATTTAATTACATGGCATATTTTTAAAATTTTATTTTTCCCTCTATTCAGAATTATTAATATTATTTTTTATTATATCTGCTCTTGTTTATCTTAGTCCTGTATGTTGCAATGAAAAAAGGATGCCTTATAAACAAACAAACAAGCTTTTTAGGAGCCCTGATTGCTAAGGGAAGGAAATCAGAAGAGAGCTAAAATCTATAATAGATAGTCCTGAGACTCATAGATGAAAAATAACAGATGGAAAAACATCCAAAGTGTTAAGCTGGGACCTGATGCCAAACCACAAATTAACTGAAAAAAAGAAAGCCAAAGTTTACAGTTCATCTGTTTAATATTTTACCAAAAAGCTGAAGCAATGATAGGGAAAACACAGTTATCAAACTACTGTATGAAGCTGTGAGAAGCTATAACAAAAGGAGAAAAGCAGACAGGAAAGACATGGGCTTTGAGATAAGAATGAA